ATGCGGTGAGAGAAACAGTCATAACTCACTTCTTTCAGTGCCGTTGCAACTTTGAACAGTCACTAAATACATGGTTGTAAGAGGAGGACTTATCTGTGCAGCCCCAGCCAGCATAGTTAGTGGAGAGGAATGTGGGGCCCGTACTTTCAGCTGTGTTTGCAGGATCCCAGGATTGCCTGCATTTGGATCTGTCTGTCCCAAAGTTGCAAGACGCAGACCAGAGCGTACGACGAAAAAACCAGCTGCAGATCGTTTCCAATGTGATAGCTCTGTTTAAACACACAAAGTGGTTTAGAAAGTTTCCAGGCTTGATGGCTCCTGGGGCCATTAGTCAAAAGACATTGCACAACTACGCTCCTGTCAGCTTTTGTGACCAATGTTTTTTTGTGGTAATGGGGCAGGGATAGGTTTTTAAATGATGGGAAGATATGAGAAGATAAAAGTGTTTTTTTGGGGATGCTGAGTAAAATCCCATTTATGAGTCATGGCAGTTGCATAATGTAACTCTGGCTTGAAGTACCACGTGTTTTTTTTTTCCTGTTTTGTTTGGAAAGGGAAGAATTAAAGTGTCCACATCTGTATTTAGCCTGTCTGCTTGGGACTGTTTATCTGCTTTTAGGTTCGCAAATCGCCAGAGAGTGGAAGGTAATGGGGTGGGGGTGTATTCCAGGCAGGATGTTTACAATGGGGTTGCAAGCCTTTGGAGCAAGTGTGTCAGTGAGATTTTCAATCTCGCAAAAAATGAGGGCAAAGGGCACTGGGTGACACCCGACCTATATCCGGGCCCAAGGTCCTCTCGGTGAAATGATTATTTTCGGCAAACCTTGTCAAACTTTATCAGACTTAAACAGTGCAATTGATAGGTGGGTTTCCCCCTTTCTATCCCTATTTAAGGTAGTCCTCAACTTACAAACATTCATTTAGTGACGGTTTGAAATTACAACCGCACTGGAAAAAGTGACTTATCACCTTTTTTTTCCCCACACTTGCGACCATGGCAGAATTCCCATGATCACATGATCAAAATTTGGAGCTTGGCAACGGGTCCATAGTTATGATGGTCGTGGTGTCGCGGGGGTCATGTGATCCCCTTTTGCGACTTTCTGAGGAGCAAGGAGACTCGCTTAACAACCGTGTTACAAATGTTAACAATTGATTCGCTTAACAACGGCGGCAAGAAAGATCATAAAATGGAGCAAAACTCACTTTACTATTGTCTTATTCAGCATCAGAAATTTTGGGGGTCAGTTGTGGTTGTAAGTAGGAGTGGGATTCAAAAATCCCAGCAACCGGTTCTCTGCCCGGTTGCTGGGTGGGTGTGGCCATGGGTGGGCGTGGCCTACCGGAACTTCCAGGAGGGCGGTTTTTCGCCTTCCCCAGAGTCCGGAGGCTTCCCTCAGGCCTCTGGCAGGGTGAAAATGGCCTCCCCCTGGGCTCCAGAGGCCTGAGGGAAGCCGGAAACAGGCCCATTTCTGGACTTCTGGAACTTCCGATTCGGCCCATTTTTCACTCTCCCAGAACCTCCGCATGGACCCTGCACTTACCTGCATCCAAAACAGGCCACATGGAGATTCCTGGAAGGGGCGGGGCAGGGCCAGCCAGCTGGTTCAACTACCGGTTCAGCCAATGATGGGATTCAAAAAATTTTACTACCGGTTCTATGACCGTGGCTTGGTGGGCGTGGCAGGGGAAGGGTACTGTAAAACCTCCATTCCCATCCCACTCCAGGGGAAGTTTACTGCAAAATCCATTCCCCCCTCGCCCCACTAACCTGCTTTCCAGCTCCGTTGTCCTGTGCAGGGCAACAAAAGAAGACCCAGCCAATCAGCTGGGACTCGGGAGGCGGAGAATAGATGGGGGCGGGGCCAGTCAGAGGTGGGATTTGCCGGTTCTCTGAACAACTCAAAATTTCCGCTACCGGTTCTCCAGAAATGGTCAGAACCTGCTGAATACCACCTCTGGGTTCAGCGAACCAGATGTAAATTTAACATCCGGTTCATCCGAATTGGTTGAATCCCATCCTGGTCCCAAGTCAAGGACTACCTGTATCTGATTCTCCTTCTTAGGCTTTCCTGACGGGGTGATTTTTCTCCTTCAAAGTCAGGATGCCCTTCTCTTTCTCCTCTCATTAGTCACAAGCACTCCTTGTGGTCTCCCATCCAAATACTAACCGAATCCGAAAAGCTTAGCTTTTCATGATTAACCAGGGTCAACTCCATTTTAATTAAGTGGAAATAATTGAAATATGCTGTATCCCCTATACTTGCTCTTGCTTCCACTGTTATCACACTGATGTCATTTTCTTCAGTGGAAGTTGTCTGGGGCACAAATGACCTTTTGAAATTTTCTCCTAAATTCAAAGTAAGAGATAAAGGGTGTCAATTTTTCCCCCCTAATTTCTCAGGAAAAATGAGAAATCCTTCTATCATACCTCAAACTGGTGTGCTCTTTTTCTCACACTACAATAACTTCTCTGGAAGTATTCGTTCAAATAGTTCCTTGTAAAGAAGAACTGTGAAAATGACCTTAGGAGGGAAGAACCATTAAGAGAAGTGAAACAGCAATTAAGTCTTGGGAAAATGGAAAATATGAAGAAGAAATTCAGATGAATCAAATCTTGATTCTGTTGGTATAGCAGAATGACTTTCAAGATCCTGTTATTATGCTGTATTACAATAAAGTAGCCAGGTGAACTGACTATCCAAAAGATAATGACTTGTGCTGAGATGGATAATTTAACTCTGGTGTTACAAGAAAAGGAGGAGTCCGAGTATTATTGAATTTAGGAAAATTGGTATGACTGGATTGAGCTAAGATAGATGGATGATGACAAATTAATGATAAGCAACATATAGGTTAAATGCTTACATTCACATAAATTGTATATACTTGTAAATAATGCACAAAATAGTAGTATAAGATGAATGCCACAAACTGTTAATGTCAAGATATTTACACTTTTTGTTTGTTTTTAAAGTTATAAAAGATTAATAAAGTTTATTTTTTAAAAAAGGGGGTGATGCAAGAGAATGTTCTGCTCCATGGTAATAATATATTAAAAAAAACAACAGTAGATTATGTCCTTCCCACTTATTAACTAAAACACATTTAGAAATAGAGCAGAGCGGCAGGGAGCGTGTGAGAGAATCCCTGAATGATATACCTCAGAACAGGAACAAGGACATCACATGGGCAAGAGTGCCAGATGATTAGCAAATGTTCTTTGTGCAGCCAAAATGGACGGAGGCTTCCGGGTTCCATTAAGGCAAAGGAGAACAGGACATCGGTGACAACAGGACATCTGCAGCTGACAGTCAGGTAGCCCTCGACTTATGACTGGGGGAAGGAGGGCTTAGTGACCATTCAAAATTACGACAGACCTCCAAGGCTATCTCTGAGGGAGATAGGCAGTGTCTAAATCTGACTGTCAACTCTGAAGCGAACCTGGATGAAGCCATCTTGTGCTGCCTCATAGTTGTCATGAAGCCTGAGAGGGCGAAGGGAGGGGAGGAGTAGATAGACCAGCTACCAGTCAAAACAAAAACTTGTCCTGTGGGAATCAAGGTCATCCCAACAGGTGGCTGTTGAAGGAGGAGTCAAGCCTGCCATCCATCCTAATTGGACAATGTGATCGATGACACCTGGAAGGGGGCAATTTTACTCTTTTAATTAGGTGAAAACTGCAGAAACTTTTAGAGTTGATTTTCACCAGCTGTGCAGATATGCTGAACATATTCTTTGAGGAATCCACTGCCTCGGAGTTCTGCTTTCAATGGGTGCTTTACTCAAAACGCTGACATTGACAAATAAGCAAAATAAATGAAAAAGCTACTTATGACCCACTTCCGAATTCCAAGTGTCAGCTTCCTCTCTCCCTCACAGTCAGGCTTTGGGTGCTCCAAAACAACCAATCTGCATTTACATCACGTGACTGCAGAAACTAGCATTTACTTCCAGTTTCCAAAAAAAAAAAAAAGTACCCCATAGCAAATGTTTGCTTTACAACAGGGAGAATTCTGGGAGTTGAAGTCCACAAGTCTTAAAGTTGCCAAGTTTGGAGACCTCTGCTTTACAACATCTACGTTCACTTAATGACCACTGCAAAAAAAGGTCTTAAAATTGAGTCTGGCCATGTTACAATTGTCATGACTTACAACCATAGTTGCAGGGCTGAATTACAGTCATAAACTGAGGATTACCCGTATTTTTCTTTTACTCTTTCCACAATTCCTCTCTCCTTTCTTGTTGGCTGAATCTTCAGCAGGACTGGTGTAAGACTGCCTCCCTCAGCAAGTGTCTTGAGCCAGGCCTGCTAAAGATTCAGGTGATCTCCTGCTTGAGCTCCGAGGGGGGGGGGGGGGTTGGACTAGACGACCTCCAAGGTTCCTTCCAACTCTGTTCTTCTATGATTCAATGACTATGGAGATTCTCGGTCATTCAGGTCATGGTTGTCCCAAAGGTGTTTTTCCATGAGGCAACTGGATTTTGTTGTTTTTCTTTGAAGACGTATCACTTCGCATCCAAGAAGCTTCTTCAGTTCTGACCGGATGGTAGGGCAGGGAAGGATTTCTATTCCTTGCAGACAGCTGTTCAGGTTAAAGGACGCAAACGACCAGCTGTCTGCAAGGAGTATAAAGCAAAGCTGGCTTGGGGAATTCTGGGAGTTGAAGTCCTCCAGGCTTAAAGTGACCAAAGTTGGAGACCCCTGGTATAGAAAAGGGGCGTGGGGGACGCGTGTTTTGCAAACAATACCCTTTCTCCGCTTTCGCTGGCACCAATCTCCTTCCCTTCCCCCTCTTCCTCCCCTCCCCCCGCCCCCGCGGGGTTGCTCGTTGCGTGACCTTCCTACACACCGACCTGAATTACAACTCTTCCAAGTTCGGAGTTTCCCGTCTGAGCTGTTGGAGCTGCTTACAGCCGCTTAGCCAATGGGGTGGCGAGGAAGGCGTGGCCACCCCATTCATAAATTCGGACCCGGCCGAGCGGCTCCTCATTCTGACTGCTTTTCGGGCGCTTTCAAGCCTTTCTCCTCCTCCTCCTCTGCCCGGACGACCATGTGCTACGCCTGCAAGCCGACCATGCTACAGATCAGCATGTCCCCAACCTCCGCCAGGGCCGCGCCTAGCGAGCCCCAATACTTCACTTTTGATCCTCTCCCGGACAACGAGAAGAGTCCAGCCCACCGGGGTTACACCAAAACCAGCAAGTCCAAGAGACGTTCGCGGAGAGTCCTCTACCCTCCAGTGGTAAGTCGTGAGGGGGAACGGTTCGCAGTCCGGTCCGAGAAACGGGAGAGTAACTGGGGTCCATCCAAGAGTGCCATACTCGGGTCTTGACCCCTTTAAGATGCTCGCTGGCTGGGGAACTCTGGGAGTTGGAGTCTCCACCTCCTCTGGTCCAAGGGGTCTCCAACCTTGGCAACTTGAAGACTTTGTGGACTTTAATTCCACAAATCTTTCCTGCCTGAGCACGGGGGTTGGACTAGAAGACCTCCAAGGTCCCTTCCAACTCTGTTACTCTGTTAACTTATCTGACTTGTCAAGAATAACAGTGGCAGAGTTGGAAAAGGGACCCTTGGAGGTCTTCAACCCCCTGCTCAAGCAGGAAATTTTTTTAGACAAATGTCCAATCTCTTCTTATAAACATCCAGTGTTGGAGCATTCACAACTTCTGGAGGCAAGTTGTTCCACTGATTAATTGTTCTAACTGTCAGGAAATGTCTCCTTAGTTCTAGGTTGGATCTTGGTTAGTTTCCACCCATCCATGGCTTCTTTTCCTGGGCTGACCAGGATTGGAGCAATGAGGAAAGCATTCTGGGCCTAGCAGCAGGCTGCAAATTCAGGTATGCTGCTCCTATATGAGCAGCGTATATATATCCAGTACGGATTATTTTCCAATAATTGTGCAAAAAGTGTGTTTCTAAATCGGTGTTTCTCCCCATGGCAACTTTAAGAAGTGTGGACTTCCAACTCCCAGAATTCTGGCTTTGGAATTCTGGGAACTGAAGTCCACAAAGCCACCATGGATGAAAAAATACTGTTCTAAGTAGCTATCTTCAACCTTGCCTGAATAACATAGTTGGAAGGGACCTTGGAGGTCTTCAAGTCCACCCCCACCCCTTGGTCAGGCAGGAAACCTTAACACCATTTCTGACAAATGGTTGTCCAATCCCTTCTTTTAAAAACCTTCCTGGGGTTGGAGCATTCACAATTTCTGGTGGCCAGTTGTCTGCTTTGTGGGACTGTAACGGTCATCCCTGCAGGGAACAGCAGCAATAGGTCCTTCTAATGCCGTAATTTTATTTTTTTTGGAACTTGGCAACTTTAAGATGTGTGACTTTGCACTCCCAGAATTGCCCAGCCAGCATGGACATATGGTGCATTTAGTGCATGATAATCCAAATCATTCCTGGAAACTGAGGGGATGGAGTTTCCCCCCCCCCCCCCACTACATGGGAAAGGGCAATTATTTCATTGCAGAGGCATTGAACTAAATGCAGAGGTTAATCAGGGTGCTGTGTCACTAATCCCCTTTTCTTGTTTCTCTTTCCCAGGTGAAGCGTTATTATCCCACTGAGGAGCGCAGCTATGCCAAGACCTTCCTCTTCATCCTCCTCGCAGTTGTCTTCTTCCAAATCCATAATGCAGAAGAGGACCTCCTGCTTGCTGGAGCCACCATGGAGGAAAACACATCCAGCTGCTTTCTGCAGGGCGGGGGCTCTCAGGCCCCTTCGGCACAGCCCATCATTGCAGAGCAACCCGTTGTATCAACACCCTCCTTGGAAATCGCCAATGTTTCTGAGTGGTCCTGGGGGGAGGACAGATCTTCGGAATCTACTCTCGACATCACCCATTTTTTGCAGCAGAATCCAGCTGCTTTCTGAAGAGGGAACAACCTCCCTCCCCTCCTGCTGGAGAGGGAAATGGACCGAGAGTCTATAAAGTGGGAATCCAGGCGGCAGGGCTGCCGTGCTCGTGGGCCTTTAGCAAAAGTCTCTTTGTAAAGCAGAAGTAAAGATGCAGAAAGGGACAAGGAGGCCTGGAGCTCAGCCTTGTGCATTCCTGACACAAGGCTGACGTCATAAGAAACTTGAACTCGACTGACACAGCATTATGCAAACAGGAAGGGGGACATTCCTTGTTGGTGCAATTGAAGGAGGTGGGGGAAAGGGGATATTTAATATTTATTAATAATAATTAATAATAATAATTAATATCTATGTAATGTAAGCTGACTTTTATTTATGTGTGAAACTGGGAGGTAGGATAGGGAACTGCTGCTGTTGGGCTGCACTATGCCTTTGGAAAAAACTGTTAGAATGTTTTTATATTTCTCTAGCAAGGTAGAATTAACAGGGATGGTTTTGTGGGTCATGAATCTGATAGGAAGAAGGCTAGATTTTGGAAATTGAGAATCTTTTTAGCATTTGTACTTTGGGTGAAGGAGCAACGTTTTAGTGAAGATTGAATGGTGCTCAGAATTTTGCAAATGGTGTGATGCTCCAATACTGTACCTTTTAATGGGAGGAAACGTTTTGTGACTGGGGCGGGGGTGGGTGGGAATAGAAAAACTGACAAGTAAAAAAAAGTTGTCATTGAAGCTAACTGACAAGACTTCTCAGCTTCATAATAACTGGCACAATAAAAGTTAAAGATGTTTCTTTTTATTTATTGTAAAAACATCTGATTTTTGTTGTTGTTCCTGCATTGTATGTTAGCCAGAATACTTTTTTTGTTACTGTTTGCTGTGTAACAATAAGTGGTTTTTGAAGGCTGATGCAGCCATACTAGCATTTCCAAAACTTTAGTAAGTCACTTGTGTGAGTTGCACTTTACATGTTAACACTATTCCAGATGAACTGGCTCAATTCTGTATGTTCTGTGAACAAATCAATAAAAAAATATTGATGTTTTAATCTTTGCCTGGCTGGGATATTTCTGAAAGCTGTGTGTAGAAAGAAAATCTTGGATTGGCAATAAACCTTTAAGAAAAATTTTGAGGAATCAACCAACACCCCCCTTCTGCATTCTAAATTCACAAAATCCCTTCACACACATACAGACACACACAATTACATATGAAAGAATAAACCAAGGGTCTTCTAACTTGACAGCTTTAAGACTTGTGGACTTCAACTCCCCAGATTTCCTGAGCTAACATGACTGGAGGAGGAATTCTGGGAGTTGAAGTCCACAAGTCTTAAAGCTGTCAAGTTTGAAGACCCCCTGGAATAAACACTGGCAGATTGCTCATCATTAAACCAAGCTCAGAGAAGGTCAAAACTCAACTGTTTAGCCCCGAATTACATTTATTTTCTACAATTTGGACCAACAAGAAGAATGAGTCTAGTAACAGTGAATTCTGTTTCAGTTGTAACTTCTGAGTCACCTTCAAATGTTGCCCCACTTAGAATGTGCTGCAATAATTGATCCACAGAGCAAGGAACATGAGTTACCACCACTTGGGTTTCCTCCTGGTCCATATAGGGCCACATCCGCTCAATTGCACTGCTGACTTATGATTACATCAGCTGTGCTTGTAGAAACTATGAATTGAGGAGCGTCTTTGTTCATTCAGGGAACTTGTAAGGCGATCTGGTTCCAACACTAGAACCAACGTTTCTGTAGCCCAGGTGGGTTTTTTTTTTTTTTTTTGGAAGAACAGGACATTTGCCTTGCTATATTTAATCTGAGTTTGTTTGTCCTTTCCTGCCCTGTTCAGTTTTTGTCGCCACAATGTAAAAAAAGGCATGGAGACCAGAAAGAGTGCAGAGAAGAGCAACAAAGATGATTAGGGGACAGGAGGCTAAAACATACAAAGAACTGTTGCAGGAACTGGGTATGTCCAGTTTAATGAAAAGAAGGACTAGGGGAGACATGATAGCAATCTTCCAATATCTCAGGGGCTGCCACAAAGAAGAGGGAGTCAAGCTATTCTCTCCAAAGCCCCTGAGGGCAGGACAAGAAGCCATGGGGGGAAACAAATCAAGGAGAGAAGCAACTTAGAACTAAGGAGACATTTCCTGACAGTTAGAACAATTAATCAGTGCAACAACTTGCCTCCAGAAGCTCCAACACTGGAAGTCTTTAAGAAGAGATTGGATAACCATTTGTCTGAAGTGGTGTTATTCTATTCTATTCTGTTCTATTCTAAATGGTTTGTCCTCACAACTCCAGCTACTGGTTCATTATTGTACTTCTAGCTATTCCACTCAATATTATATTTTCTGCAGATCTGGTAAGCATTCTCTTTACTTCATGAAGAAACTACTGAAGAATGGAAGACTCAAAACATTTACCGAGGCATCTCCCACCTCAATACCTCTCCAACCATACATGAGCACACTTTCAAGTTATGATTTTCCAGGGGGGTTGTACACCCTTAGTTTTCAAGGCCACATCTAACTAGCTTGCTAATCCAACAAATTATGGTTCTCAAATGCTTTAAGGAAATCGAGATATGATATGACTGCAGCATTCCCACCATCTATTAAGGAGATTACCTGTCAAAAATACAGAAGAGGTTAGTCTGACAGGATTTGATAAACTCTTGATAAATTCTGCATGACTTTTATTAATTACTTACAGATCATCTTCTTCATGATCTGCTCTAGAATTTGCCAGGTATTTGATGTCTGTCAGACTGGCCAGAAGTTTCCCTTTTCCACTTTTTAGGCGCTGGTTCTCGTATGTTTCTTTTTTTAATTATTATTATTAAATTTATTTGCCACCCATCTCATTTTGAAGTAACTATGACATTTCACCAATTTGTCAAGATTTCACAAAGATATTGCATGCAGGTAGTCCTTGACTTACAACAGTTCATTTAGTGACTGTTCAAAGTTACAATGGCACTAAAAAAAGGTGACTTGTGACCATTTTCCACCCTTACGACCATTGTTAAAGGAGATGGAATGTTGAGGCCATCAAACTGATTGAGGATGGACGGCTGGGTTTCTTCTAGGTTGCAATTCCCGTTTAAATTTGCAATTCCCTTGGACTGAACTGAGTGAGGAGACAGAAGTGAGAACATTTCTATTCTGTCCTATGAAAGGGCCACTTTGTCTAACCATAGAAATAATCCTAGGTACACTGATAATGACCTCCGTTTCCCCCAAACTGGCCAGCAAACCCTAGGATTTTTCACCTTGAGGTCCTCAACTATAAAAATCTCTTCCCTTCCCCAATCCCTTGAGTTTCTCTTTCTTGTAAAGCAAGTGCCCAACTATCAATGCAATAAATGTGGTTGGGGGTTTTCTCCTCAGTGTTGTGTACTTCTGAATTTGCCACAAAGGTTCCTCAGAATAGAATTTAAATCTAGAATTTACCTAGAATTCAAACCAGGGATTCCCTGCTGACTCTCTCTTTATTCATTCAATCCTACTTCTTCTTTCTCTTTTTACAACCTCTTCATAGGGCAAATGTTTAAACTGGACCAAACTAAAAACTGAGTAGTTCTGCCTTGTCTTTATTGCCCTTTCCCTTATAGGACTTATAAGGAGCACTTATAGTAATTCTTCTCTTTTTAAAAAAACAAACAAACCCTTTTTATTCTTCTTCTTTTGCTTCCTTCATCTACAACAGTTCGTTCTCAATCTTAAGTTTTCCTGACATGGACGCCGCAGTGCCTTATTAGCTTTGTCTACTCTTCCTTGCCAATCTGTCCCTCTGTCATTTAACAGAATAACAGAGTTGGAAGGGACCTTGGAGGTCTTCTAGCCAGCTTCCTGCTCAAGCAGGAGACCTTATACCAGTGGTGGCTAACCTTTTTGGGTTCATGTGCCAAAAATTGTGCACATGCAAGCGCTTGTGTGCCAGCACCCAGAAGGCAATGTGCGTAGCCCACCCCCCATGCCCCCTGTGTATGCGCTTGATTCCTCCACCACCACCCTCTTTACCTGCACTGTACCTCCAAGCTGATTTTCGGCCTGCCAGAGGCTTGAGGGATGCCTCTGCAGGCTTTGCAGGCCAAAAAAAATAGGCCCATTTTGTCACTTCCGGTATTTCCGGAAATACAGGAAGTGACGAAATGAGCCTATTTTTCGGCCTGCAAAGCCTGCAGAAGCATCCCTCAAGCCTCTGGCAGGCCGAAAAAGACCCAAAAATCAGCTGGGAGGCACATGCATGCGCAGTGAGGTAAGTTTGCCTGGAGGTCCCGTGCCCAGACAAATGGATCTGTGTGCCACATGTGCCATAGATTCGCCATCGTAGCCTTATACCATTCTGGACAAATGGCTGTCCACTCTCTTCTTGAAAACATCCAGTGATGGAGCACCCACAACTTCTGAAGGCAAATCGTTTCATTGATTAATCGTTCTGTCAGGAAATTTCTGGTTTGTTATAGGTCCGTGCTCTATGAATAAATAAATAATAACAATAGAAATCTGCGGCTCTCTATTCTTCTAATGTATCCTTTTCCCTCATCCGATCCACAGTCAGCTTCTGGCTCCCCACTTGTTTCCTTCTCCATTTTTGCCTTATTGCAGCTATTTGCAATTGCCCTTCCAATATCACATTTTCTGAGTCACCCCCATGTTTTTAGCCCCTTTCCCCCTGAACGTCGCCTGCCCTTTCATGACTAATAATATGGTTTGCCAATATTTAATGAGGGTCATCACTTAAAAAAAAAATAAACTTTAGTAAACTTTATATACATGCAGATGGTCCATCAATTTTCAAAATGTATTGGTTTTTCTTTTTCTAAAAAAGTGGCCTTTTTTGAGTACAGCGTGATATTTTTTTCTTGTTTAGTCATGTTTTCCATAAATTTGGCTTGAATATATCAGAGTGATGATGACAGCATCAGTCAATCAGTGACAAATGAATTCTCTTGTAAGCCCTTTTGAGGAGAAACTCCTGAAGTTGGTACATCCCCACGACTTTCTGATTCTTTCTGATTTTTGCTCTGACTGATGAAGCTGCTTGGATGAAACATCTCACATGATCAAAGTTTGGTCCAGTTGCCATGACTCAACCTTTAGGTGCCTTTGGCCTGGATGACTGAGACTCCATTGATGAATTATCTTGGAGTTTCTTCAAAACAGACCAATCAGAAGCCTACCTAGATGAAGAACCCATGAATAACCAGAGTTCTTAGATTCCCATCACATGGACCAATCAGGGATTAGTTACAAGAGTCTAGCCATCTCTGCTTCAGTTGCCTGTGGTGATAAACTCACTACAAAGCAGCTGTCAGCCTTCAAGACTCCTTTCTTTCGCTGTCTTTTCGTCTGCCATAGTAACAGGGGGAGGGTGAATCAATTGGGCTTTGTGGGGTGGGAAGTGTGCTGGGGGCTTTGGAGAATGAACTGTATAACTTGGGGAAAACTTTATTGTTTATCTTATTTGCTTGCTTACTGAGCAACTGCAGTTTATCAAACCAGGCCAAGGTCAACAGCCAGATGTCTGTATCACCACCTGAAGATGCCCCACATGACAGTATACACATCTTCAATTGGATGGACCATTTGAACTATGGTGGGTGGAAACGTTGCCATCACTT